GCCGGTTTAATTAGTCCACGAGAATACAGCTTTTTCCTAATTCCTGTATGTTTCTTTATTGTTTGTTTGGTGAAGCAAAAAATCTCCGTTGTGAGTAATCCTGTGTCATGCCTAGAAGAAGCCAGTTAATGGCAGTTACAAAATTGCAATAACTGCGGTTTTTAATTTTTTTTAAATTTCTTTTTTTGCACCTTCTCCTCTGCCATACTCTCTCCCCCATCCCAGGCTTCAGAGCATGAGAAGTTGCCCAGTTTTCTGTTGTGTTTTTTTTCTTTTTTTTTGAGCTTCTGGCTTCATGACTTTCCCCCCCACCCTCCCCCGCCCCTCCCTAGCCCTCAGCCACCCCGTTTGTGGGTTCGGTGGGGGGGACGGGCCCTTTCCCTGGCCCGGAGGGCTCGCTTGGTGCCGTTTGCTGGTGACAGCCACCGGGCTGGGAAGCAGCTGGCGCCGAAGGGAAGCAGCAAGCTGCCTCTGTCGTGACAGGGTAGTTACAATCTGCTTACGGCACTGGGAGGTTTTGATTCTAAAAACAAAAAGAAAACCCACCCTTTTACAGGACCTTCTATGCTGCCCAGGTTGCAGCCAACTTGTTTAAAGACGAGGGTTTTAAACTGCCTCGCTGAGTTTTGCATGAGAGAGTTCTGCATTTTGTCTGGTCCGATTCCTTTTCATTTCTGTTAAAATCAAAGGAGCTCGTAATTAGCATGTAGCTTGAAAGCTTCCAGCTAGCGTTAGAAATATCTTTAAGCTTCTACGGTATAAAAACGTCCCCCTGCAACGAACTTTGTTTTTCTCTTTTACTAATCATTTAAGCATAAATCAGTTTTTACTACTGTTTATAAACCTCAGGAAATGAATGGAAGTGATTAACAGACAGACATAATTATCGTCGTGGCACAAGTGATTTTTTTTTTTATGTACCTGTACGGCGAATGAAACTGCTTTGTACCATCGGTGAAAGCTCCTGCAATTTATGTGATGTTATGTTTTTTTCAGATTCCTCAGTTTCCTGTCATTCCTGCGCTTACTCCTCTGGCAGGGCTTGACAGCCTGCCTCCAAACCTCTCCGATATACCTGCTGCAAACGTGCCCCCCATCCCTGCTCCTTCGCAGTATTTCGCTCCGGCCGTCATTTTGCCCAGCCTCCCCATGAACCCCGCGCTGCCCATGGCGCCCAGCTCCCCCGCCCTCCCCATGCAGGCCCTCAACCTTCCTCACACCACCGTGGCTTCTTTGGTCTTGCCCTGCCAAACGCCTGCCTGCGCCCGCCGCGGGGCACCAGGTAAGCGCCGGCGTGGGGGTCTCCGTGCCGGACCGCAGGGCGGTGGTTGCAAGCTTCCATGGTTGCAAGCTTCCATGGTTGCAAGCTTCTCAACCGCGGTCCTGGAGGTGGTTGCTAGAGCTGTGCCGTCGAGTGGAGCGGGGCGAGGTCTTCACCCAGGGGCAGGAGACTGCCGAGGGGGTGTCGGGAATAGCCTGGTGGGCTCTGCAGAGCAAGCAGACACGAGTGGTTGTCGAATGCCCACTTCCTTCTCCCACCCCGTGTGAGAAAGAAGCGTGAGCCGTCGTTCTCCTGCGGGGGGAGGAGAGGGCTGAGCTGTGGCAGCAGCCCAGCAGCCTCG